GATGATGATGTTGATAAATTGCTAGAATTAAATGGTGATTTTTTATTACAAACCAAATTTGAACAAAGTAAGAAAAAAAACAAATTGATACTGGCCATTAGACATGGACATCGAACAATAAGAATACCAATTTCACGACTTGAGAAAGGATATCGCATATTTGTATGTGTAAAAATCACATTAAAAATTTTTTAAAATTACAAAAATAAACTTTTTTTTTTTTGGAAAAATTTCTACAAAGAGAAAAAAAAAGGAAAAAACATTTTATCAAATTTTTTGATCATTTCTTATATTGCAGTAAATTCTTAATTCATTTATTTTTGTATTCTTTTATTTTAAGAAACATTACGGAAATAAATAATTTTTATTTCCGAATGAGAAAACAAACGGTTTTTTTTAAAAAAAAAAAAACTTTAGGGACGTTCATTTTCAACAATGAATACATTAATCAAATATTATCAAGAACATAATATTGAAGCACACGGAATTGATTCGTTACTTCTGAAGAGACCAATTAAAAAAGGCAGATTTGAATTGAATCATTCTGATATTAAAATTATGAAAAAGGTTGACAAAAATTTTATTTATTTGATTAAAATATTTGATTAAAATTAAGCAATGAAAGTAATTGTTGAAACAAAAATGAAAGAAAAAAGGAAATAAATTAAAATATTGATTAATTAACATAGATTGGTTATGGCGCATATGGAACGGTATATAAAGGTATATTACTAAAGAATCTTTGTCCGGTAGCAATTAAACGAATTGATTGTGCAGACAAATCAGAGCAGGCCTTAATTGATCTAATGAAAGAAGCACGTGTGATGCAATTATATGATCATATCAATGTTGTTAAATTTTATGGCTTTATCGTAGATAGGGAACCATTTTTGCTTGTTATGGAATATTGTAAGGTATATGTTATTTAATAATTTATTATTAAAAATATTTATAAAATGCAAGAAATAATAATTTTCCTTTTTTTTTTTTTTTTTTTAGAAATTAAAAAATGCATCAAATTTTTGCATAAAAAAAATTTTGCTAAATTTCAAAAAATAAAAAAAAAAAATTGGTTATTTTTATTTTTGAAATGTTTTTAAAGATATTTTAAAGGATGGATCGGTGGAAGATAAATTAAGACAGTATGGACGTCGTCTAAGTATTGAGTCACGCATTGATATTGCATGTCAAATTGCTCGTGGTCTTGAATATCTTCATTTGAAAGGTTGCATTCATCGGTAAGATAAAAATAAAATAATATTAGATAATACGAAATGGAAGTAAGTAAACAGAGTAATGTAATAAGTGAAATTAAATAAAATGATATAAAATAAACCATTTCAATGTCAAAAGTTATTGTTCATATTTGAATTTTGTTTGAAATAAGTAATTTTTCTCCGTTTTTTTTTTCTTTTTTTTCTCAGTTATACTAATTTATTTTTTATTTCAAAAAGTTATTTTTTCTGATATTTTTAGAGATATTGCTACACGTAATTGTCTTCTTAATGGAGCAGTTGTTAAGTTAGCTGATTTTGGAATGTGTCGAGCAACGCTTGTTTATAAAATTGACCTTTCAAAACCACAAAATGTTCGCTGGCTTGCACCTGAGGTTAAATATTTGAAAAAAAAAAAAAAGCAAAAGAATTAAATATAATATCAAATATTATTATATATTATATTAATAATATATCTTAATTTTTGAAGTTAACCTTGAGAAGAAATATTTTTCACACCTGAAAATTATACTATCGCATCATATTTAAAATTGATTTGCTTATTGGCTCATTAAAAATTACTAATGAAAAATAAAAATTTTAATTTATTTATTTAAATTGAATTACTTGATGAAAAAAAATATGCGATAATTTTTTTGCTGAAAAAGAAAAAAATATAACAAATGAAGATCTGTTCACAATGAGAACAAATATTTTTTATTTGTGTTAAAAAAAAAAAGAAAAAAAACCTGATGTGAAGTTAATGTCAAATTAAATTAAAACTATTAATTTAATTTATAGGTGTTATTGTCAAATTAAATTAAAACTATTAATTTATAGGTATGGCGTTCCGGCGAGACACGATTCTGCACAGATATTTATGCATTTGGAATTACCCTTTGGGAATTATTCACAATACCGTATACTCATCCATACAGTACCTGGAAAGCGTATAAAGTTAAAGAAAAGGTAATTTTTAATTCTTAAATATAGTCATAATTTAAGTCAAATTCTCTGGCAGTTAAATTAAAATAATAGGATAAAAGTAAGGTAAGTTTTATGTTTATAAATTATACAAATATCATTGGAAAATGATCTGACTGTAGGTTACAGTAATTCAGGTAAAAATTTGAAAGTAAAGTACAGTAATGTTAAATTAAAAAAAACTAAAAAATTATATAAATGTTAAATTATTTTAAAATTGTAATATCACAGTTGAAAAACAAAGTGAATGATCGATTGTCTAATGAAAAAAATTAATTAATTACTTCATAAGGTAATGGCTGGTTATCGTTTACCAAGTCCAGAAGATATGCCCGAATCAATGATAACAATGATGCGACGATGCTGGGATCATGATCCATCAAAACGGCCTACTGCTAAACAAGCACGAGAATATTTGGAAGACATTTATCGAGTAAAATTTTCAAATTTTACTAAATTTGAAAATTTTTAAAAATTTTCAACTATTAAATTTTAGCAATTGTTTGGCAAAAAAAAAAAGTGTAAATTTTTATTTCCATTTTAGAATTTTACTGCTGAAAAATCTACTGCTACTAGTTCGCATACGGCAATTCTCAATTCACGAAGTGGTAGGCAAGTTTCGTCATGTGAAGACGTTTCGTCGAAATCAATCCGTGAAATCACGCAATCACGTGATGCTGCACTTAGAAGGCATAGTTCATCAGGTTCAAACAGCGGAGCATCTTCTAAAAGTAGAGTGTATCGAAAAAATTTCACGTAACTTCATTTACAGAAAATAAATATGATTTACACACACATACATACATATATATACATGCATGAGAGTAAGCAAAATACGAAATACAAAAAAAAAAAAAAATTATTCAAATATGAAAAAGAAATGCTTCAAGTAAAATCTCACATATATTAAACCGAAAATACAATAAATCGGAAACTGATAGACGCAGATATATGCCATTAGCTTTCAAGCATATATTTTGAACTAAAATCCAATCATACTAGTATTAATTCTTCTCATTTCTAATTTTTATGCTTTCTCATTTACAACAATTAAGAAAGAAAAAAAAAGGAAAATATTCATTTGACGGATACGAAGAAGCAAATGCATTTTTTAAATTAACATTCCGGATATAAATTTCAAGTTAAAAAAGAAACGGATATAAATTTCAAGCAAAAAGAAAAACAGGAAAAAAAAAAGACTGAAATTTTACTGAAACATACTTTATTGTTATTTCGCTATTGTGAAACTCATTCCGGAATTAAATCATTTCAATATATGCAAAAAAATTGAAAATTGAAAAAAAAAATCGAACTTCTCTGCAAGGTAAATTTAATAATTTATGCAATTAAAAAAATTGAATAGAAAAGATCAAATAATTTAAATCAACAAGCATATACCATCAAAAATTCTTTTAAATTCATTGTAAAATTTATACTTTACAAAGTAATTACTAATGAAGAAACAGAAAGTAAGTAGTAATTACTAATGAAAGTTATAATAAGCAGAAGATTGAATGAAAAATTGCAATTAGCAAATCGATCAGATCAAGTATCTATTAAAAAATGAAAAGAAATGAAATATTTTTGTCATATTTATCAAGCAGAAAGGAAAAAAAAAAATGACAAAATATTGAAAATTAGTTTTAATATGATAAAAATTCATTTAAATATGAAAAAATAAAAAAAAAAAAAAAAGAGAAAAGGTCATATTACATCGTTGAATAATGTCTACTTCACTTCCATATTGTCAATGTTGCTTCATTAAAGGAAATATGCAAGTTTTAATTGTATTTTGAAAGAAGCAAAAGATAAATTATTATTTTCTACAAAAATTCTTACAACTATACCAAATAAAATAAATGAAATTTAAAAAGAAAATACGAGATTTAATTTTGAAAAATTAAATTTAATACAACATTATTTCATTTATTCACTTTAATAGGACAAAGATTATTTTTATATGAAATTCATAGAAATTTGAAAAGTAAATTTTAAAATTTATAAATGAATGAAAAAATTATATCACTTTAGACTTGTCACAGAATTGAAATATCTTTCTTTTGAGTAAATGTTTATTTATTATTTATTTTTTTTTTTACTGTAGCAAGAAGCTTTTTTTTCTTGTTTTGATTGACTTAAAATTTGTTTTTCCGTTTGTTTTTTTAAATTAATATCAAATAAATATATCATTATGCAATCTTCTTACAATCTTATTTTGTGCAAAATTTTTGCATCATTAGAGCATAAAATAAAAACTAATTATCAATATTATTTGCATAATTTGTTCTTCTGTATATTTTCAAATTTGCATTTCTTGTAGAAAGAAAAAAAAGTTTTCTGTTACAATTAAATTAGCAAAAATCTCCTTTACAAAGTTCATTTTTAACTAATTTAAGTTAAGGAATCTGTAAATTTTTTAATCTTTCCATTCTTCTTCAAGTCCCAATAGAGTAGATAATTGAATTTTCATAACGACCCCAAAAATAGGATGCATACATTATTATTTGCTCGTTGGTCTGAATATAGTACCATTATTAACTGTGGAATATGACGTTTGCGTGTTATTGTACGTCGTTGCATTGTGTGCTTAACGTGACATCGTTGTTGTGAGTGATATACTCATTTCATAATTTTTATTCCTAAATCGTATTCGATCTTTTTCTATATCTGTGCAAATTATTATTATAAATTCTTGTCTTTTTTTTTTTTTTTTTGTTTCTCCTTAACATTATTTCAATGTAAGAAGAATGAGAAAATGTAGTGTTTTAAAGGACGGAAAATTCTGAAAAAACCAAATAATCAATGAAAAAAAGATTCAAATTAAACGACGGAAGGCAAACAACACTTGATCGGTTTTGGAAACCACTGGATTCCTATCATTCCTATCACGAATCAGATGATGAGTCGCGTAAACTTTCCAGAGAAAAGGTTTCTTATTTTTAAGTTTATAAAAAGATAGCACAGTAATAAGCATGTTTTTGAATATGCTTAATATAAACAATGATATGCATATAAGAAGAATGTAGGTTAAGCATAATGTCGAAAGCATAAAACTTCGTAGCAATTTATAGTTTTTGTTAATGTAAGAGTTCTATACACTTTATAGTAATTTCTGATTATTTAAGAGCGAAATAATTTCTTGAATTAGGAATCTCTATCAAGAATCTATGGATAACTCTCTCCGACCAAAAAAAAGGAAATGTTTTTTTAAAGGTAGAAACAGAAGAGTGTCACAGAAAATTCAAATAATCAACCAGTGTTTCATGTCTGACGATACTGATTAGTTAAAGTCATATATTATACATATATTTGAAACCATCATATAAGATTAATGGCTAACATCATTTATGTAGTGGGAAAATTTTGGAATAAATACTGAATATATCTATAATTTTTATATATGCATTCTTACGTTTATATAGCATAAATTTCTTCACCGACTACTTGAAAATTCATCTACTTGAAAATTTTATTGCATATAATTCATTTAGTTAATTGGTAGGCACGTAATACTATTTGACTGAAAGATTTTGTACAAAATTCATTCCATATTTGCAGGCACTAAGCAGTAATTCATTGTCAAATGAACCGCGTTATGAAGCAGAATTGATTAATTCATTTCGAGGGTGCCCACTCTCACCCCGCAAATCACTGAAAATTCGGATGTTTCCCTCTGTTAATGCATCGGAAAAAATGGATAAGTAATATATTGCGATATATTTCTAGAAAATTTTTAGAAAAATGATATTTTTAGAAAAACCAAAAAAAAAAAAAAATCTGTAATTTAAGGGTTGTTAGCATTACAATTAGACAAAATAAGAATGTTTGCAGCAATATCTTTCAACTTTTAAGTGTTTCCCATTTATAAAAATTTTGGAGAACGGCTTTTTGATTTCTCTGATAATCAGATATTTCATCACTTGCTGTGACAAACTCTTAATAAATATTCTCATCTATTATTTCCAGACATTTTTCAACCGCTGATATGGTTTGTAACAAAAGCGAAAATCAGGCAGTAAGTTGTCTTTCCCCATTTTCTTTCATTAGAATTGAAAATTGCGTGAAATCTTTTTTTGTGGTGGATTTTGATTGAAATGAAGGATTGAACAGCTATTTGAATTTTATTTCAAAAATTTCATCCGTGAATTTTTCTTAAACGAGTCGTCTATTTATCTTTTTTATAATTTTTCAAAATACTGATTTTTAAGAATGACAGAGCCGAAAAAACAACTTTTGCTGAATCCGGTAATTTACTCGATGGTGTACCCCTAGTTGCTAAATCACCTCCAAGCGATACAGAAGCCTCGCTGCCTGTAACTGGAAATACACCAGATGGTTCATTAAAATATGATTTGGGTGCCTCCACATCATCCAGTTTGGTAACTTTTATCTAATTTTAAGATTCAGCACTTTTGAAAGATCCTACGAATATTTTTGTACAAAATTTCACTTCCTTCTTGAATCTTTTTTTACATGTTTTCTGTTAATTTAGTTTGAGATTAAACTAAACAAATTAAAATACTGCAGAAAAATGGAATTTCCTCATGCAAAGCTCACAGTTATAGAAAGAAACGGGTACACAAGGAATCTCACAGAACTGTAGGTTTTGTATATAAAATAATGTATTCTATAAATGTTCGATTTTTTAATATTAATTATAAATCAGATATAATTTTGTACTGAACAGAAACTTCAGATCATCACTTTTTGTCCATTCAATTGCGCACTCTTTAAAGATCGTGTGATGGTTTTGAAAATCGAGGAAATTACGAAGAAGTCAAAAACTTTTTAATTGTTTTTTAGAATTTATCTCACGAATTATTAACTCTTCCACGGATACATACAATAACAATTGGTAATTTTGAACTGGAACCACCGTATACCTCACCATTACCGTTAGAGCTTGTTAGGAAAGGACACCTTTACGTTTGTGAAAAGTGCCTAGATTTCAAGGAAAGCAAAGAAACACTAGAAAGACATGCAGTTAGTTTTTTTGTTTTTATATTTAGTTGTTTCATTTCAGTTGTTTATGATAGTTAACTTGAACTTTATTTGTACTTGTACGTTATCATGTAGACGTTTAGTCCAGTACACTGCTACATTGTCAAGTATTTCTGTTCTCGTTTTTTTTTTTTTCTATAAATATAATTTGTTGAAAATTGTAGAGCAAATGTTGGTTGGATTTTCCACCAGGTGATGAAATATTTCGTCAAGACGATATTTCGATATTCGAAGTAAATTTTTTCAGTCCATCCGAAACAAAGAATATTCATCGCAATTTGGGAACAGCAGTGGCTGGGTAGTGTCACGATGATACATTTATTTCAGAAGATAAAAGCAAACCAAAAAAAAAACACTGCCACATATTAGCCAACAAAGTGACCCCTGACTAAATTAATGCACGAATTGAGCGAATAAATTTATGCTGTGATTCTCTTTTTAAATTTCACATCCATATAAAATTTTTACTTTCAGGTTGATGGAAATATTGCCAAAGGCTACTGCCAAAACTTATGCCTCTTAGCTAAGCTTTTTATCGATCATAAGACGTTATTTTATGATGTTGAACCATTTCTCTTTTATGTTTTAGCTATATGGAATTCATCTGGTTGTCATCTGGCAGGTTATTTTAGCAAGGTTAGATGACTACTGCTAATGATTGAGTGTATTTTTCTTGGTTTATTTTCATTTTTTAAGTAGACATAGAATTTAATATTTCTCAGCAAATATACTTAATAAAGCATTTTATAAATGAATAAATTGTGAGCTAAGTATTGTTGGCTGGAATATTTTGCTTTAATACTTTAAAAATAAGAATCTTTTTCAGCAGAAGTGCAGTTTAGAGAATAATCTTTCTTGCATACTTACTCTACCATCGTATCGGAACAAAGGTTATGGACGTTTTCTGATCGATTTCAGTAAGTTTAGTTCTCCTGTTGCAAATTTAGTATTTCGAGTTTTCGTATATTAACTTCTTCATGTTCCATTGTCAAATTTTTCTTTATTAATAATTTCTGGCAAATATATTTTATTATGACTTGTTTCTGTTGCTCATTTATTTCATTTTTTTTTTCAGGTTTTCTTTTATCTCGACGAGAAGGAACAACTGGAACACCTGAACGGCCACTATCTGATATGGGCAATTTGGTTTACAGAAGTTACTGGCGTAGTATTGTGCTTGAATATTTCAAAAGGCCAAGCTGTGCTTCTGTTGCGGTTCTGACTTTTGCGGGTTAGCACTGTGTAGTTCTGTTGACATTTCATTTGTTTTTCAGTATTTTCATGCAAAGATAAAGCATCATCTCTACTGTCTCTTCTTCGTAGAGAGAATTTTAGCAATTTTTACACTGAAATATTATTTGCAATGAAATATTATTTTAGATATTGCAAAAACCACGGGTGTTTCAGTAGAAGATATAATACAGACAATGAAAGATTTGGGAATGCTTCATTTTGATCAGAATGGAGAAATGTATGTTTTTTTTTTTTTTCAGACTGTTTTGGCGGTTATTTTACATCGAGAATTTTCTTTATTTACTTTTTTTGCTTGTTATCTTACCATACTACTTTATTCTATGCATATATTTTTCTCGGATGCTGTTGTTTAATGTACCCAAATATCGTATGACTTTACTAAATTTCATTATACTTTAACTAGCTTACCGTACGGAGCTGTAGTTATAGGTACTACATTTGTTTTTTCTAGAGAGTCCTTCATTATCAATAAGGATCTCATTGACTTACATTGGGCTAAAGCTGAAAGCGACACGAAACGCATTTGGATCGACGAAGACAATTTAATAGTTGGTTTTAAATAATTGGCAATTGTCTTCAAAAAAAAAAAAAAAAAAAAAAAAAAAAAACGGAAAGAAATCCGTTTAAATAGTAATAGTGAGTAATGGTGTCGAAATACATTAGAAATATGTTCTAAAAACTCCAGGCAACGCAAATAGAAAAAAATTAGCCTATGAATACTAATCAACAATAAAATTCGCGTTCCACTGAAAATCTCTAAAGTGAGTTATTGGATGACTGACTGACTTGCACTATCATTCAAAAAAAAGAAAAGAAAAAAAAAACATTAACTTCATAAATTATTTGTCATATTTGTTGGTTAGGATTTGATTTAAATTCAGCTTGCGATTTTTGTTGTGGTAACTTCCGATTTTAATAACAATTCCTTTGTGGTATTAGATGATAATATTTCACTATTTCAGCTATTTTATACAGTTAATTTAATTATCAGTTTCAATTTAGTGGGAGCCGAAGCAGTTTCCCTTGGTGGAATGTGCCAGTGACGAAAGTAGCGGGACTTGAAACTCTTTGAAATTGAATAACTCATTTGTTCTTTTATGCCAGTTGTTGCCTTCCTACATTTTTGACTTTGAAACGTTATTTGTAAATTTATTAGTGTATTATTTTTTGGTGAAAAGGAAAAATGCTGTTAAGAAAAAATCTGTGATTGAATCTTGGATTTTATTATAATTGGATGTAGATTTCGAATTCATTTTTGGGCTGAATTGTAAATTTAAAGCATTTACTTTTAACTCATATAGATCTTCCCTCGTTTTTTGTTTTATTTGTTCAATTCTCTGATTTTATATACATGATTTATTTTCTGCGTTAATTTTTGCCGATCAGTACATGATGCATTTAAGTTAGAGGTCAACTGATTATTTTTAGGCTTCAGCTTTCATGCGTAATGCAAATGTATAAATTTTAGCTGCATAATTAGATTTTTCAAGAATCATTTTGAGAAATTTATAAAAACTTATTTGAAAAATACACTAAGTATCTCTGTCTTATTAATGAAAGAAAAAATTTTAAAGATCACTTCATTATTATCTCTTGTTGTATGGATTTCAACTATTTAAGAAAAATTATGCAACGATTTTTTTAGGTTAATTTCCTACAGGCTTTTGGTCACTATTTTAGAATTGTATCTCTGTTACTATTGTGTTTTGTACCTCAGCTTATCAAAAGGTTAAATGATCATCAATATCACATAGAATGAAAACATTGAGTATGACATTGAAAAGATAGAAATCAAATTGACAAGAAGTAGGCAATTGTAACAAAGTAAAGGTAGAGCAAAACTTGGATGAATTTTATCAATCAAATTAATAGAATTCTTTCTATCTGCCTTTTTCCCTCTTTCTTGTTGCATTTTCTAAGATACTGAAACTTTCGAAGACGGAATAATTACAGTTATAGCGTATCGATGAATGCCATAAAATCGGAATAATTTTAGGATATTCGGATGCAAACAAATATGGAAGAATGATATTTATTAGAGGTGAACTTGTTTATAAAATTGAAATTCTCAAAAATTCAAAATTGACAAAGCTAAATGTTGTTCATATATTTTGAAATATAATTTATGATGTGATTTCTGAACGATCTTCTCTGTTTCTCTTTTTAAATTACTTTTCAACATAAAACATATGCCTGTTTTTATTTATTTTTTTTTTTTTGCATATTGCCGTTACTATCACTATCGCTTATATTCCTGTAAAATATTACTTTGACTATATTTTAATGATTATTTTATAATTCATTAGTGCATTGAATGTGTTTTATATTTATTCCTTATTTTGTTCCCTTTTTTTTTTCTTCTTGCTCATTTAATTCAATTCCAGAAAAAAAAAAAAAGAAAAACTTTCCATATATTAATTAATTTTCATTTACATGTTTATATTGATAATGCAAAATTATTTGGTGAAAGAGCTTATTCAAATCAATATTTCATATTATATTAACTCCTCATGCAGAATATAGTTTTCAAATAAAATATTTCATTGTTTGAAAAAAAAAATAAGGATAATTTATAAATGAAACAAGAAAAAAAAAAAAGAAGAAAAAGATTCAAACATCCAATAACAATTCCCAACCTTCCTTCTCCTTATCTTTTCTTTTTTCCATTATTAATTTCATTTTTTTTTTTTGAAAAAGCTAAAGTTGGAGCAAATAAACTGGATGATGCGAATTTTTCAATATGATGAAGAAATAAAAGTTTACTGATAACAATGTTAAGTTATTTCATTTGATGCATTGATAGTAACGATTTGTAGTACCTATGTGATAAATGAATAGTAGAAGGATGTTGTATAATGCAGAAAGAGTAAAAAAGTGAAATTTAAATATTAATTTTCTTTTTTGCTTTTATAGTTGGTGGAAGAATTTATAGTTTATTTCAATATAAATTGAGGCTAAATGAATTTGAGCAAATGCATATGGAATTTCGAAGATTTTTTCATTTCAACAAATTTTTAATTCGAAAATAGATTGCTGATATTGTTGATAAATTTATAAAATTTCGATTTGACTTAAATTTGGAAGGCAAGGATATACGTGGCATCGGTGGTTCAGTGGTAGAATGCTCGCCTGCCACGCGGGCGGCCCGGGTTCGATTCCCGGCCGATGCATCGCTTTTTTCTCTACTTTATATTTTGTATACATAATTAATTCAAAATTGAACAGTCCTTTGTTATCAGTTATTTGTTAAAGTTTAAAAGTTCATATAGTTCTTTCTTTATGAAATATCTGAAATTGATTAAAAAATTGATAAATCACATTCATTCTGCCACTTCCAATTTTTATAATTCATTTCACTTTAGTTTAATTAATTAGCTTTTCTTCATAAATCTCAACATTAAAAAGATATTACTTATATTAATTACTTATAAACATAACTTGAAGAGAAGTTGAAATTGAAATTACTGCGATTAGAATGTTAACAAAAACTGATAATCATGCTGAATTTTCTTTTTAATTACTTTTTTTGCTCTAATTTCGACCAAAATGCAAAACATTCAAGAAAGTTGAAAATACCATTATATTTCCTTCAAAAACACTAAGAGTATAAAATAATATATAATAAAATTTTCTTATGCTAATATTCAATAACACACGACGATTTATTCTATTATAAATTCTTCTTATTTCTCAAATAAAACTAAAATAATAAATTTTTCATAAATTATTATATAAGCAAATACCATTTGTTAAAGTAATAGTTGTATTATTTAACAATTTTAACATTTGTTTAGTAATTTGCACAGTTTGTCAGAGTAATTATAATATTAATTAATTGTTTTAATAGCAATTCATCCATGCATAGCAAAAATTGGTATACGAAAAGGAAAAGTTACCAATTTGCTATAAATTAGAAATTTAATGGATTAATTAACTGTAAGAATTACCCAAAATTGTTATTACTAACTGTAAGAATTACCCAAAATTGTTATTATTAACTGTAAGAATTACCCAAAATTGTTATTACTAACTGTAAGAATTACCCAAAATTATTATTACTAACTGTAAGAATTACCCAAAATTATTATTACTAATGTTTTTTTTTTACTACTGAAAATGTAACTATTTGCATTTGTTTTTCTTTTTTTTAGCACATTTTAAAGTTTTATTTTGCAATTTTTTGATGACTGATTTTTTTTTGAAATTTTTTCAAAAATTTTGATCAAATTTCTAAAAGTGATCTCATTTTCAATCATATGTAATTTCTTCAAATTAAAATTACAAAATTTTATTGCTTAGAATGTATGCTTTACTTCAGACATAAAAAAGTGAGCGAAATAATTTTTAAGTTATTTAATTGTCTGAATAATTGCTGTATAATTAGATTTTTGTATCAACCAATTTTTTTTTTCGCAATTGATCTATTTAATGAGTGATCTGATAAGTTATCAGATCATATTATAAACCATATCAATCATCCAGCACCATCGTAATCACTTATCATCTTCATCGCTGTTATTATCATTACCTTTCTATCTCCGTTTCAGCAGCTTATCAGTACACTCTTTATTATTGCTATTCATAATAACAATAATTACTATTATTATCATTATCATTATTATTTATCACTATTATTTCATTATTATTACTGTTATTATCATAATCAATTACTTCATTTTTCCAAAATTGGCAATGTTCTATTTTTAATTTCACTATATTTTTCTTTTATGTGTTTGGCAGCATTCTGCAATCTACAATTCAAAATAGTTACAAAAATGATAAAAAAAAGTAACAATTTTTAAAGACAGTAAAGTTTTTGATTTTTATTCTTGAAATTTTACATTTCAAAATATTGTTGAATATAATAAATAAGATATAATAAATATTTAAATTTGCTTAACTTATTTTACCATAGTCTACTAAAACTTTAAATTATTTTAAATTTATAAATTGCAAAGAAGAAATTACAAAGGAAGGGAAAAGAATAATTTTATTTGAACAACATTCAAATACTGAAAAGATTTGAAATTACCATCCATTGAAACCCTCCGAAATGAGAAGTACCTTCTCTTCTCTTTGTGATTATTCGCCGATTATTTCATTGTTTATGAAATTTACGCCTCTTTATGAAATATGAAATAATATTTAGGCTTAATAAATCATTTCATATTATCTTACTCATCAAATTATCGCCAGAAATCCTTTTTTTTTTTTCTTTAAATTCAAATTTGTCTTTGTCAAATAAATTTTTGATGTCGTATATCAATCATAAATCATTTGTAAGTAATTTTGTGTAATTCGGAATTGAAAAGCACTTTTTTATTTACTATAATATTTGAATAAATTTATAAAACAAAATCAAAAATGCTAATTGATAATCATTAATGAATTTGGAAAAATAAACATATTAGCTTAGTAATCAAAAAAAATTAAATAATTTTTTTGTTTTGTTTTGTTCAGTTTATGAATTAGCACAAAATAAAAATAAAAATAAATAAAAAAAAAAAAGATGGAAATAGAAAACATTAATTAATATTAATTAATCGATAAATTATTTAATACAATAATAGTTTTCGATAAATAATAAATATATCGTTTTATTCTTGGTTAAATAAAATTACATCATTCTTTTATCAGTTAATTAATTAATTAAATATTTCATTCTTTAACGAAGAAAAGAATGGCATAGAGAGGGAGAGAGAGAGAGAAAAAAAAAGTGAAAAAAGAAAGAGAAGGAAATTTACATAATTTAATTTAAAAATGAAGGTCATATAGTATTAACATTATTAGATTACCATTCATCTGTCTAAAAGTGAGAAAGAAAAAAATTGAGAAAGATTTCTCAAATTAAATTATTGAATAAAACCTATCTTTAAAGCGCAAATATTTATTTGCGTCTCTTTAAGCGCAAATGTCTGTGTGCATCTATCTATTCATCTGGCTATGCATTTTTAACTTTGTATTGATATATATATTTAATTTAATTTAATTTTTTGATTATATGATTTGAGTATTTCATTTTTAAATTTCTTTTATTGAATTATTAAAATGGACTGTTTTAT